AGACATATCTGGTAGGTAGTTGGATATACAGGTCTGGAACTCTGGGGAGAAAAAAAAAGCCTATGTTGGAGAGATAACATGAGTTTAGAATCAGATGAAATTAAAGCTGAGGGAGTAAATGTGTTGGCTCAAATATAGAGAACCGAAGTGGGAAGATGGTCAAATACAGGCTAGCTCTTAGACTTTAAGATTGTGAGCCACTAGCCATCAGGGCAAATGGTCTGTGAGTCTTGTGGCCTCCAAAGAGCACAGAGGAGGTATATAGGAAAGGACTAAGCTACTGAATCATAGCTGGACAAATGACCTCTCCCATCCAAGCAACTGAGCTTCACCAGTCCTTTTCTACCCGGTTGCCCTGTGGTTTTGGCTCCCTCAGACTATGATAGGCGGAGATGTTGGCACTGTTTTCCTTAAGCAAGGAGTTAAATTTTTTTTWAAATTTTTATTTTATAATTCTGGGTATCAAATCCGGGGCCTCATGTTTGGTAGGCAAGTGCTCTACCAGTGAGTTACTTCCCCAGCCCTAGATCTTTTTTAAAATTCCCATGTCCCCTTACTTTAAATTATAACCTCAAACTCTCCTGCAGAACGACCCAATTTAATTCAACTCCACAAATATTATTGGTTTAGGTAAGGGAAATACTACAAAGATGATTAAGCTGTGGCATGCCCTCTGTGAATTCCCAATCCACTTTGCATTCAGCCAGACAAGCGTGTTGAACAGAGTTTATGAGAGGTGGGAGTACTGGGGACACTGAGGAGCGGGGACCTCACCCCATGAGTTGCCTTATAAACTCCGGGGCAGGGTCTGGGGCGCCATGTCATGTCAGCCTCCTTAGGCTTAATGCTGAGATGGCACTCCCAAGCGGTTGACATGAAAGCAGCCTCATAAAAGGGTCAGCGTCATTAGGGTGATGAACCAGTTGGTGCTTGGAGATCCAGGGGGGATGAAAGGCGCGGGGTGAAGACGCCCTGCGTTCCCCGAGCTTGGTTGGGCAGGGCTTCCAGGGACCCAAGAAAGCTGGGGAAACTGGGCTCAAAGTATCTCTTCTTGTCTTCCCGGGAAAGAAGCTGTGGACACACTCCAAGGTCGGGAAGGTAGTCCTGGGGGCTCTATCCCTACAATCTTGGGTGACCCAGGCCCCRCTCAACTCATACTCCCCTGAGCCTTTACAGGAGACTCAGAAGGATTGCAAGTTGCTATGGCAACCAGACATTCGGAATACTGAGGAAAGCCTASGCCTAGAGAGGCAACATCCTGCTTTCCTCCTTTCCTTACCACGGATAAAGTGGCGCCCCCAACGCACAGGAGCCGTCCCTGGGCCCCCGCCCCGGCGCGGAGACCAACGTGGACCTCCAGGGATGGGAGGCCGCTCTGGCCTCAAGCGGTGCCACTCGTTGGTAGACGGGCCCGAGGGAGCCCCTCTGGGCGCGGCGCCGCTGAGCTGCTCGATGCTCCGGCCGGAAGTGCTCTTCACCGCCTGCCTCCCACCCGGCTCTCTGGTCCCGGCGGTAAGATGGCGGCTGCCGCGGAGTGCGATGTGGTAATGGCGGCGACCGAACCGGAGCTGCTCGACGACGAAGAAGCAAAAAGGTAATCGRATAGCAGGGTCAAGGAGGAGGCGAGCTGCAGCCCTCTGGCTCAGGGAAACCTGTCCTTGCTGTGATGCAGCCTGCAGATGTTGAGGCTATGCCCCGCCTTCTGCAAACCCCCCCCCCCCATCTGAAATGATGTCGGAATGGACCCCCTGAAGGGGCGCTCTCGGGGGTCAGCCTTCCCCTCCTGCTTCCGCCTGGCGGGGGAGCTAAGGCACGGCCAAGTTCTCCAGCGGAGAGGAAGGTCGTCCTTATGGTGGAGGCTGGGTCTCTGAGGGGGAGTCTCAGAGGTCTGTTGTCGGGTGGGGGAGGCGGCGCGGCGTAGATGACGACTTCCTTACATCCCCCGACCCCCGCCTTCTCTTGTTAACTTCTGTGCATTGTTGTCAACACTGTGTGTCTCCAAAGCCCTCGCTCTCCTTCTCACCCCCTCCGCCATGATTACACCCCAGCAATCAGCAGCTGGGTAAGAGGTGATTGTGTGTCTCCAGTATTGACCTGGTCGCTCCCTGGTTAACCCCAGAAATTAGAGAGGATAGAGAAAAGAGGCAAAGTGAAGGACGCGTCTCATGCTCTACACGTCAGACTCCTCTTTGCCCTTCCTTCCTGTGTGACATCCTTATTCCTCTCTGATCCGTTCTTAAACAGCAAGGAGGAGGGCAGCTGCTGGAGCGCAGTTGGCTGTGCTGGGCAGCCGCAGAGGCTCGAGATTGCCAGTCCGAACTAGCCAAGGGAGTTGCTGAGTGAGTGGTTTTCGAGAACACTCTGGATTCTGGCACCAGCTAAAGCAGATTATTGGAAGTGGGTTTGGGAACAGAGTTTGAATAAGTTCTAATACTAAAATCGAATTGATGAAAAGATTCTGGAAGTTTTAGTCCTTTTCTTTTTTCTTTTTATTTTTTGGTGGTGCTGGTGATTGAACCCAGGGTCTCATGCATGCCAGGGAAGTGCTCTAGCACTGAACCACATCCCTAGCCCCCGGAGTCTTTTCCTTACCAGCTGCTGGTTAATTTGATCCTGTTGTTTAGGATGGACTACAGTACCCTCAGTCTCCTCACATATTTTATATCCTGATACCAAGCCCCCTGTTATGTTTTCAGTCTGGATAATTTGAGGTGGTGATGTTGGTGGTGCAGGAGATCTGAAATCGGGATTCTGAGATTTTTTTTCTTTTTACTATCCCAAGTTAGGAACATAAGAGATACTCATTGAAGCACAGTGAAAATGTCATTAAGCATCAGCCAGTGACTTTAAGTTCCTGATCTGTTAGGAGCAAAGAGGTCTAACAAAGTATAGTAGATCCTTGAGAGATCTGAGAAAGCAGGATACCAAAGTTTAATCTTAGTTTTGAGCTTTCACATTGTTCCAGTATGTACTTAGGCATCAGCAGCTCATATGTATCTTTGAGGAGTTGCAAAATGGGAAACAAAACTATTCCCAACACAGACAGAACTTTAATTAATTGTGAAGATGTAATGTACTTGTATTTGGAAAGAGTTACTGGTTCTAAGTGCTATAAATAAGGACTTTAGCCAAATATCACTTAAGAAACTGTAAATCTTTGATGTAAGGAGTATCCTCAATTAAAGCTTCACTTCAGGGCCTTGTATCTAAAGCAAATCTTTTTCCTTTAAAAAAAAATTACAGCCTTGGAGAATATTCTGTTATAAAATTAAGGTACATGAAGTTGAAGATGTATTAAGAAACATAAAACAGGTAATTCTGTAATGTTACCACATCATGCAAAACATAAGACATTTGGTAGGGATACATTGAAATAACAGAGGTTGTTGACTYTTAACTGCCTTATTTCATGGAATTTAAAATATCATTGATTGTAAAATGCACAATTATTTTATCTACCACTAAGAGAATACAACTGTAAATTAAGTAATGAGAAAAATGCAGTGTCACTTCTGTGCACAAATCAAAAAGAAAATAAGTGAAATTTTATTAATATTTTTAACCAAAAACATGTTTATTTTTTAGTTGCCAAAACCCAAACTCTTCTTTTTAAAAAAATAATCATGATTAACTTAGAAAATTTTATATATATATATATATATATATATATATGTGAAAAAATACATCTTCAAAGCATTTTCCTTTAATGGGAAACTTAGTTTTATGTAATCTAAACATTAAAAGGTGGGGCTGGGGATGTGGCTCAAGCGGTAGCGCGCTTGCCCGGCATGCGTGCGGCCCGGGTTCGATCCTCAGCACCACATACCAACAAAGATGTTGTGTCTGCCGAGAACTAGAAAATAAATATTAAAAAACAAAACAAAACAAAACATTAAAAGGTTAAGGAGACCTATTTTGTTGCCATTAAGAAACAATGGAATCTGGCATAAGTCAAGAAAACCCAGTCATGCTTCAGGTCCTTCTCCAGGAACCAGCATTGTTGTGTTATTTCCATTTAGCAAAATCTGATTTACTTTTCCTTCTTCTGCTGTGATCTCAAACGCAGTGATATCTTCCAGCACCAGTTTCTGCTAAGAAAGCTCAGACATTCTTAGAAGGGTAAACATTAAGACCTGTTAGTGTTTAAAAAAAAAAAAAAAAGCCTTGTTTATGTATGATTTACGCATTCTAAAATTAGAGTAAAGATTTAGAAGTTTTTTGGGGAGGTGGTTTTACATTTTCCATATTCCTGGAATCCTGTGTAGCCGTACTAAAGGACAAGGAGAGGGACATCCCTTACAAATGCCCTTTTACTGTCTGGCTTGGCTAGAGTTACTTGGCCATGTTCTTGTCTCTCTTGTTACAGTCCTACTGGTTCACTTAGGGACATAACAGTTGATGGGTCCCATGGTTGTTTTTGTGAGGACCAGCAAGGGGTACTTTCTTCCTTACATTTTGGCTCCAGTGCATCTTTCTCCGGCTGCTAAACTGTTACATTCCCACAGGGGGCAAGATGAGAAGAGATTTTAAGATACTGTTCCTCATGATTCCAGCATTTTAAGTGACCACATGTTTATTTCCTTAGCTTTAGTGTCTCATCAGAGAATAGGATTTCAGTGTTTTTTTGTTGTTGTTTGGTTGGTTTTTCTTTCTTTTTTTTTTTTTAAAGAGAGAGGAGAGGGAGGGAGAGAGAGAGAGAGAGAGAGATCTCACTAGAATTTTTTTTTTAATATTTATTTCTTTTAGTTATTGTCGGACACAACATCTTTGATTGTATGTGGTGCTGAGGATCGAACCTGGGCCGCAGGCATGCCAGGCGAGCGCGCTACCGCTTAGGCACATCCCCCAGCCCCCACCCCCTTTTTTTTTTTTTTGCTTGTCACTCTGATAAAGTTCACTTTCCTCCATGGCAGTCAAGAGGTTAAAGTAAAAAACAGTAATTGGCACTACTACCGAAGATTGGGGTTCTTTTTTTTTTTTTTATAATAGGAGAAGAAAAGTTTATTTGAGGGCTCACAGTTTTAGAGGTCTCAATCCATAGAGAGCAAGCTTCATTCCTCATGGCTCAAGGTAAGGCAGGGCATCATGGTGGATGAGTATGGAACCAGCTCACATGATGATCAGGAAGCAGAATGGGGGGTGGTTCTGTGCATCAATATTGTTTCTCTTTGCCCACCAGAACATAGTTTTTTAGGGTGAAATTGAAAAGGTTTTACATTTGAACTAATGTAAGGCCTTAGAATTTCCTGGGAAGTTGCTGAACCATTTTATCTAATACCTGCCTTAAGTTAAGGCTCTCCAGTCAGTCAACTCCTAGGCTTGGAAGCAGCTTGATCTCTGTAGGTTGTCTTTTTTATTTATTTATTTATTTATTTATTTATTTATTTATTTATTTAAATTTTAGTTCTTGGTGGACACAACATCTTTGTTTATATGTGGTGCTGAGGATGGAACCCAGGCTGCACGCATGCCAGGCAAGCATGCTACCGCTTGAGCCACATCCCCAGCCCCCTGTAGGTTGTCTTTACTATGGTTCATTGAAGGATTTCAAACTGTTCATCCAAGAGAAAACACTTCTGTGTTTGTCTTGATGTGACTGGACAGTGAATTCTAAAAAGGGAGCTGTAGACTTAAGCGCCAGGACCTGTTTCCTTCAGATGATATTCTTAACTTCTCTGTTTTCCTGATGGACTCAGGAATGAGCAACTCTTACTAGGTTCTTTCTTCGTATTGAGGTGTTGTAAACCCTTTGTGGATTAGGAATGTACCTTTTATTTCTTTATTCATACTGTTGTTGGTGGGAAGAACTGAACTCTGAATCTATATCTCCAATATTGCTGTTGTTGCTATGTTTTACTGCAATTTCTTAGARCATTTTGGAGTTTGTGGCCTTTGTAACTGGAGAGCTTCTGGGAATGCATCTCCCTTTTCTTTCTTACCCTGTTTGACATTCTCAGGAATTTGTTTCCCTAACCTTCTCTTGAAGTTCCAGGGCAGGCAGCAATTTAAACTGGAACAATTTAAGCTGATACGTTAAGGCATTTTCTCATTCTGACATTTCAGTAAGCTCATAAGCAGAATAGGATTTATCTTCGACCTGGAACCTAAACCAGTGAGAAACACTTCATTTTCATTTTGGTACACTAAGTGTGGATCAGAGATGAAGAGATGGGAGAAATGAGTCATGGTTAAAGAAGGGATAAACCTAGGAATACAGAATCCTGGACACAGCAAATTAATTGAACCCTGATACTATCAAGTGGCAAAATTATTAAATAATCATAACTGGAGCAAAGGTATACTACAGAAGGTCTCTTTTACTTATTGCTGAAATTCATGTTCTCATATTAACCAATGTCAAGAAAAGTGAGCAATTAATAAGAAAATGTTGGGTCAAGTGAATGGCAGTTGCTGTAGTGCCAAGTATATTCCCAACTGAACATAATTCTGATTGGCTTAAAGCCCAGCCTTGCTGTACATTCCAGCCAATTGGGGATTAGTTTAGTCATTGAAACTAGTGTTTTCAAAGTTTTTTAAAAGCCGAGTACTGGGCACTTGACTTTGCTTTCTTGCTCTAGGACTTTAGAAGACTGG